AAAGCGGGGGCGGCAAAAGATGGTTTTGGAGGCGGCGAGGGGCCAGCCGCAGGCTGGCCCAGGGAGACCCGGCCTCCCTTCACCTGGGGGCTCCCACCCAGCACCCGCGCCAGCCCACCCTCGCGCCGCTGATAGGATCCGACAAGGTCACCGCTCACGCAGCCTGGCTCCAGACAAATGCCCTAAGGAGGGAGCTACCAGGATTCCCTCTCTTCCGCCAGACACTTCTTCATGTCACCTCTGGCAGAAGAGCTTTCTTCCCCGCGATTGCTGCTCTGTAACAGGGCAGCCGGGCCCTTTTGCCCTACATCTGCCTCTTTATTGCTCTGAACGGTTTTGGGGAGATGCAGCTGGGATGGAGGATTCTGCACATAGGATCATCCATGCTACACCAGCCCCATGGATACCTGCAAGGACAGCGCTACTTCTCATTAGCCGAACTACATAGACTACTCAAACAGAGAGGGGTTGCTCTGCTTGGTATTGACTCAGAGAGCATTACATACACCGCACGGGTGTAATAGTCAGCGTTTCTCTGTCTCTTCACAATCTCCCCAGACCCTCTTTTCTAAGAGGTCACAATATTCTTGATAAACTAAGAGGAGGTCATCAGGGAAAGCTGGCAAAGCACATGGTCCTCAGGGAAGGAGAGAGGCTTGGTGGGAATACTCCTTCATGGAGCAGCCCCACTGCTGAAGAAGACAACGCTCTATCTACCATTTCTTTCCAAGATGGCATTTTCCTAAGCCACGGGTTGTTAACACACGGGCACTCAGCTCACTGTTATCTGGAAAGACAGCACATCACTCACGGTCAGCGTCATCCAAGTCAGCTGAACCATTTCCCTCATCTCAGACAGGAGTCTCTGGAAGGATGCTCCAGGACATTCTGCCACGCTCCTCCCTCACAGGAACTCCACCTTCTCCCAACTGCAGGGAGCGTGGGGAGGGCAAACCAAGCTGTTGAGAAATCCAATCCAGGATGCCATGTACGAAGCCCCCCCCCACCCAGCACAGGCTGGGCTCCCTGGGGACACTGATCTCTGACTGATGCAGCCAGGCAGCTTCAACCGAGAGCTCAAAGCTGGTGAGAATCACATGTGCAACCAAAAGTCAGACCAGTCCTGTACCTGTTGCAGGAGGCAGGCTCCACACTGCAAAGATGCATTTGCAGACAAGTCCCTTCAGCTCTTCTTACCCATGTACTCTGTCTGCGAATGCTTACACACACGAGTTTACACCAGGACTAAGGAGCCATCGGATACCTGGAGGACAGCCTGTACAGCTGAGTATCACGTGGCCGGCAAAGGGCTACACTCTGCAAACTAGCTGATGGCTTTGCAGAGTAGTCAGACACTTCCCAGTTGCATCAAGCAGTCAGCACACTCGCAGCCAGGGCAAAGCTGCCAGAGCAAAAGAGATGGGGCAGAGCTGCTTGCTCCCCACCTCCATTTGGGGCCAAGAAAGCAGCTCAGATGCACGCATGGTGGCAACTCAGGTAGCCCTTGTACTCCTCCATAGACTTGACCCTGAGACTCCCCGCTGCTCTGCTTGTGTCCCTGGGGGAAGTGGCTCCTCTACCCACCTCCGTGGCAGATGTCCCAAGGCCACGAAGAAGTGATGGGCTGTAGCCAGGGGAGGATGGGGGACAGTAAGTGAAGACCAGGCCAAGCTGTAGGGAGGACAGCTCAGACCACCGCAGCTGTGCAGGACACAAGCACAGGATCCCCCCTGCCTTCCTCTTCCTATGTCAGAAAGCTTAAGGACTTTGGGGGATTTATTTTACAACACAGATGAAAAGCATTGCATTTCACCAAAAGAGCAATGAGAAAACTGTTTAACGCTTAAAATGCCAGCATTTCTAGGCCAGTGGCACATGAGCAGAAGGAGAACAGCATCTGTGACTCCACTGGATGCTGCTGCTCGATGCAGGCTGACCGTGGGGCCGTGCCGGCTGGTCACTCCAACTGGAGAGCAGAGAGGGACGGGATGGGAGAAGTCTCTCCTTTAAC